AGTGGGTTGTTGTTGTTGTTTGATGGTGTGGTGGTGTGTTAGGCAGGATTGACTAGAGAAACAAATCCAGGGACATTCATGCATGTGTATAAGAAAGAGCTTTATATCAAAGAGTAATTGTATATTAAGAAAACATCCCAGCCCAGTCCAGATCAAGTCCATAAGTCTGATATTGGCCCATATGTCCGATACTAGTCTATAAATTCCTCTTTAGATTCACACAACACATACAATGATGCCAAATGCAGGAAGATTGCAGGCAGGTGAGTAGAAAGTCTTGTGGATCCAGTGGTGGTGGAAGCATTTCCAAGACTCTTGCTGCCATGAGTGTGGCTCTATGTGGCTTGTCAACAAAAATGTCAAACAGAGAGAGTATGTCCTGCCTCCAGGGAGGAAGAGAGGAAGTTCCCAGAATCCTCATGAGAAGGCCACAAGGCCCACAAGGAGGGATCATCAGGCTGTGACCTGATTGACAGGCTAGACTTCGCCCCTTCATTTTTTTACCAAATTGACATGAAAGTGGGTAACTACCACAGTGGGTAACACATACATCAGTTCACAACCACTGCTGCTCTGTACTCTATCCCAAAAGGTTGCCAGAATTGACTTAATGATAATAAGTATGGATTTTTGTTTGGGGAGGTAGAACTCAAAGTTAACCATAGCCTAATCTAAGAACAATTAGTTCTTATGATATGGCCCTACTTGATACTTGCCCTCATGAAGAGATCAATGAAAATATGATTGCTATTGCAAAGTGTAGTGAAGAAATCAGACAGTGCCTGGCTATCAGTAATAATAGTGTCTAGGAAACATAAATTATCCCTATGGGTGGGACATGTGATAATTCTATTGATAGTATCTTAATTTAGCCAATGGTATACAATTTAAATCACTGTTAAGAAAAGGAAAATATATAAATGTTGGACAGTTTTTTTTTTAATCAAACGTACATGGATTGGTAATTTCTACAGATTAAAATCTTAAGTGACTGGATTCTATTTACACAGCAGTAAGGGTTGGAGAGAGGGAAAAAATTTTCAATAGCACTCATTCACAACGGCACAAATATGCTTGCTAGATTAAGACATGTTACAAAAGATCACTGAGTGCATGAAAATAAAAACTATTTGGTAGTCCCAAACCACCATTCATTGGTCACCCTCAAAGCAAGAGATCTGAATCAAAGTCCAACAACCTCAAATTATCTGTTTCTTCTCACAAACTGCATTTCAGCATTAAATCCAAGGGGGCATGTCGGTTCCTTAAATCTGCTGCAGGTGAATTTGAAGGAAAGCCCAGTTTGCTTAGTGCGGGTTTTCACATAGAATCCTCCTGGTGTAGGCTATGAATGATGTTGTGTACTCCTGAAGGACAGAGTTGATGGTCCCTGTTGTCTATAGCACCTACCCTACGTCACCAAGGGCTGGACAGAAACTAGAAGTGTCCAGTTAGGAACATAGCATCAGGTGTATTCTTCCCCTGGAGGTTCTATATAGATAATGTTAAACATTTTTCCCAATGTCAAGTAGTCACACCTGGTTCACCCACCAACAGAGTGTGAATACCTTCTCTGAGACAGACGGCCCCTCACACATGCACCTTGACTTTAATTACCATCCAAGTTCACTAATCACCCTTTGGGGAGTGTCTGTTGATTTGGGGTCATTGTAAAACAATGTTATATGGCCAGAAACTACCCCTGCTGAGGTGAACCCCCTCACACACACCCGTGGAAATTATTTTTAAGATGTACAAGTAAAAGAGTGGTGTGTGGGTTGTGCTTTGCAACGCTGGTGGCATAGTAATTAAGAGTTGACCTGCAATCTGCAAGGTCAGCAGGTGGAAATCCCCAGCTGCTCCTCAGAAAACACAAGGATCTCTATTCCCAGAGTCACAGTTCTGGAAACTCACAGGGGCCATTCTACCCTGTCCTATAGGGTCACGGTGAGTCAGCAGTAACTCCATGGCTGAGTTTGGTGGTGTTTTGGTTTGATGTACATAAGTGTTCAGGTTTAGTAGGTCCCAGTCATCTGCTTGTCTTCTAGCGTGTGTGCTTCCTTGATTATATTTGTTAGTGTGTGAATGTCCTGCAATAGGGCCTTTAGATTTGTCCCAGTTTTCTTAGTGATGATCCTTAAAGCTCTAGGGTTTACATTTAGGTTTCTGATTGAGCTTGAATTCATTTTTGCATTGGGAAAGGTATGGTTCTTGTTTCATTCTTTTGCAAATGGATATCCAATTTTTCCAGCACCGTTTTGAAAGAGGCTGTTCCTTTTCCATTTAATGTTTTTTGGTCCTTTGTTGAAAATCAGTTGCCTGCAGGCGAATGCATTTATTTCTGGATTTTCTATTCTGTTCCACTGGTCCATATATCTATCACTGTACCACTACCGGGCTGTTTTGACTACTGGACTGTGTGGCAGGTGTTGAGATCTGGTAATGTGAGGCCTCCTACTTAGTTCTTCCTTTCAAGGAGATTTTTTCTTTTCCTGGATCTCTTTTTTCTCCATATAGATTTGGTAATTTTTCCACTTCTGTATAGAATAAAACAACACCTTTTCTTGATGAAAACTATAAAGAATGTTGGAATAATCATTTTGCAATATGACTCAGGGTATATATAGAAGGCTAATAGCCAACAACATATTTAATGAAGAAAGATTGAGAACTTCATCTTTTATATCCCAAAAAAGGCAGAGGTGCCCATTCATCACTTTTATTCAATATTAGAAGTCCTAGGCAGAAAAATAAAACAAGAAAAGAAATAACAATTCTCCGCATTGGAAAAGAAGTTAAATTATCTATGCTACCAGATTACATGAAAAAGCCCAAAGAATCTACAAGAAAATGTGCAGGGTCAGTAGAGGAATTTAGCAAAATTGCTGTGGACAAGAGCAACAATCAAATATCAATTGGGTTTCCACACACCAGCGTGAAAAAACTGAAAGGAAAATTAAGGAAATAATTTCACTTAAAATATAAAAGAATAAATCTACCTAGGGGCATAAAGAGCCAATAAAGCAACGGAACTCCTGAGAGTCTCACTGCCTTGGTGTCCATGTGTCAAGCACATTTGTACATTTGTTGCATCATCACTCTCAAAACATTTGCTTTCCACTTGAGCCCTTAGTATCAGCTCATTTCTTCCGCTTCCTCCCCACTCTGCCCTCCCTCATGAACCCTTGATAATTTATAAATTATTATTATTTTGTCATATCTTACAC